TGTGAGCAGGAGGGATGTGAGAGGATGGGCAAGATAAGGATACCTACACTGGCTCCTTCTACTCAACACAGTGCCAGAAATGCAAGCCAGAGCAGTTAAGCAAGGAAAAGAAATAAAAGGCATCCAAATCATAATCAAAAAGTAATTTGGTTGTTGCCATATGACATGATCTTACATGTAAAAAACTCTAATTCTACCAATATTAGAAATAATAAATAAATTGAGCAAAGATGCAGGATTTAAAATTAAATATGCAAAAGTCAGCCGGTTTCTACATACTAACAACAAAGTATCTGAAAAAAAAAAACTAATAAAAAAATCCAATTTACAATAGCATCAAAAAGAATAAAAAACTTAGGAATAGTTTTAAGTAGGGAGGGTAAAGATCTACATACTAAAAACATCTAGTACCTTGATGGAATTAATTCAAGACAAAAATAAATGGAAAGATATTCCATGTTCAGGATGGGAAGAATCAATATTGTCAAAAATGTTTATACTATCCAAAGCAATCAATAGGTACAATACAATGAGGTTTTTCACAGAAATAGAAAAAAATTTATAAAATTCATGTGGAGTCACAAAAGACCCAGAATATCTAAAAAAAACCTTGATTAAGAACAACAAAGCCAGAGGCATCGCACTTCCTCATTTCAAATTATATTATGAAGCCACAATAATCAAAACATTGTTACCCACACAAAAACAGACACATAGACCCATGCAACAGAATAGAAAGCCCAGAAATAAATCTATTTTTATTTTATCAGCTGACCTTTAATAAAGGTGCCAAAAATAAACAATGGAAAAAGGACAGTCTGTTCAATAACTGGTGTTGGGAAAGCTGGACATCCATATGTAAGAAGGTGAAATTGGATCCTAACCTTACATTTTACACAGTATCCACTTAAAATGGATTAAAGACTTAAATGTAAAATATGAAATGGTGAAAATCTCAGAAGAAACATAGGGGGAAAGCTCCATGACATTAATCTTGACAATGATTTTTTTTTTTTTTTGATATGTGAACAAAAGCAAAAAAAGACAAGTGGGACTATATCAAACCAAGAAGCATCTATATAGGGAAAGAAACAATCAACAAAATGAAGATACAACCTACAGAAGGGGAGAAAATGTTGGCAAACCATATGTCAGTTAATAATCAGCCAGGTGTGGTAGCACACATCTGTAATCCCAGCAACTCAGGATGTTGAGGCAGGAGTATCACAAGTTCAAGACCAGGCTAAGCAACTTAGAAAAGACCCTGTGTTTTAAAAAAAAAAAAAAAAAAAAAAAAAAAAACCTGGGGATGTAGCTCAGTGGTACAGCATGCTTGGGTTCAATCCCCAGAACCACAAAAAAAAATATATATTTTTAAAAAAGGTCAGTATCCAAAATATATAAGAAACTTATACAACTCAATAGTGAATAGTGAAAAATAACTATTTTTTTTAAAACAGGCAGAGGACCTGAACAGACATTTCCCAAAGAAGATATACAAATAGCCAACATATATGAAGAGGTGCTTTGCTGTAATCATCAGAGAAATACTATAAAATCTATAATGAGATACCACCTCACACCTATTAGGATGGCTATAATCAGAACATCAAAAAGTAACAAGTGTTTGTGAGATAATTCTTATACATTATTGGTGGGGATGTAAAATTGGTAAAACCATTATGGAAGACAATTTGGAGGTTCCTCAAAAAACTAAAAATAGAACTACCATATAATTCAACAATACCACTTCTGGACATATATCCAAAGAAAATAAAATTATTGTATCAAAGAGATACCAGTACTCCATGTTCAATGCAGCATTCCGTAGCCAACACATAAAATCAACCCAAGCATCTAGTGATACACAAAAAAAGAAAACGTGATGCTCACCGGTAAACATACTCCCACCCCACGCACACACACATACACACACTATAATATTATCCTACAAAGGAAGTCCTGCCATTTGTGACAACATGAATGAAACAGAAAGATATTTTTGCTACGTAAAATAAGGCAGAGACAAAAAGATAAATACCACATGCTCTTATTGATATATGGATTCTAAAATAAAGTCAAAATCACAGAAATGCAGAGTAGAATGATGGTTAGCAGGGGTTAAAGGTAGGGTTAATGCAGGCATATTGGTCAAAGGGTAAAAACTTGCAGTTTTAAGAATAAGTCCTAGACACCTAATGTACAGCAGGGTGACTATAGTTAATATATTTTCTAATGTTTTGCAAATGAAAGAGAGTAGATCTTAAGTACTCTCCTCTTCAAAAAAAAGGAATAGTCATAAAGACAAGAAAAAGGAAGCAGGGAATAGAGAAAGCAAGCAAGCAAGCAAATTAAGATGATGGATATGAATGATTCATTTTTGAAGCAATTATTTCACATACATTAAAATATCATATATTAAAATATCACATTATACATCTCATATATAATTTTGTCACTTATATATTAATAAAACTGGGGAAACTCTAGTGATAACTGACAAATATAAATTTGTTAAAAAATCACTAAGACATATAATTAAATTGGATGATTTTATAAATTATACCTTGATAAAATTGTATAAAAATGTATACCTAAATAAAAAGCAATTATAAAGCAACATTTATACAAATGTTTTGTTAGGCCTAAGACATAAAGAAATGTAACATACTTTCTAAATAATAGCCTAAATGAGATGGGTAGGAGTGAAGCTGTATTGAGTTCAAGAAATGATTCAATATGGTAACCTAAGTCCATAAAAACAAGAAATGAACAGAACTAAAATGGTAAGAGAAATATAACAAAAACTACAAATATACACTTGCTCTCCTTTGTTCTTTCATTGTCTTAAAAAAATATACAGCAATAACTAAAATAAATGCATTGTTGGGCTTGGAAGACTTATACCACAAAAAGCAGGAGCAACCATTAAGTCACAAGAGCAACCATAAAGTCAATAACTAGGAAAAAAACATTGAAAAAAATCACTAAAGAAATTAAAATGTTACATTAGAAAATATTCACTGGATGCAAAAGAAAGAATAAAGGAGGGACAGAGGAACAACAGCAAAAAAGACATAAAAACATACAGAAAACAAAACGAGGATGACAGACATAAAACCAACTATATAATAGTAATATTAAATGTGATTGGATCAAACAATCAAGTCAAAAGGCTGAGACTGTTAGACTACGTTTTTTACAAAAAGCTAATATCCAACATGACGATTTCTAAAGGAGACACACTTTTGAATCAACTGTACAAATTGTTACAAAGGAAGCTGGAATGGCTGTACTAGGTTCAGACAAACTAACTTTAAAATAAAAAAATATTATAGAGAAACATAGTGAAAGGACAAAGAAATTGAAATGTAAAGGATAAGGTTTGTAAAGTTTTTAAGTTGCATTCAGAACCTGAAATTCATGTGGCAGTAAAACAATTCCCGGAACTGCCCATTAGATGTGTGTCGAAATCTCCCCTGACCACCTAGTTGCTTAACAACCCCCTCCCAGAAACCGTGCAGTCCAGCACATATACACCTCAGGGCTTAAACCAATCAGTTTGAATGTATACCCCTTCTTAGTACTGACCAATCACCCCCACCCGACCTGTTCCCGCAGTGAATGTGCTAATCATGTTTTAGAGTTGTTATTTGATTTTCCCGCAGTATGTGATGATTTGCTAAGGGATGCTATGATGTATGTAAAGTCCCTGCCCTCTCCAAAGAATGTATATAAACTCTGCTTAAGTTGTTCTCGGGGCTCTTGGTTCTTTGCTCCTCTGAAGTGAGCTCTGAGCCCCAGCATGCTGGATCCCCAATAAACCCTTTGCTGTTGCATGAGACAGTCTCTTGGTGGTCTTTTCCTCCGACGTTCGCCCGACCTTTACAATAGGTACATTTTATAATAAAAGGATCACCTCACAAGGAAGACATAACATTCATAAGCATATACACACCTAATAACAGAGAATCAAGATACTGTATTTATAGCAAAAAAAAAAAAAATGAAAAGACAAATAGATTCCTCAGTAACAATAGTCGAAAGATCAAATTTTCAATTAGACTTCTAATAGATTCTGCAACACAAAACATGACTGAAGAACTCTTCAGTGTCCCCTCACCCAAAATGTTCTCTTTTAGTCTATCTCAGTTAAATAGAAATTGCATCCATCCAATTGCTCAAGCCAAAAATTAAAGTTGCAACCAGGCATGGTGGCCCACACCTGTACTCCCAGCAACTTGGGAGGATGAGGCAGGAGGATTGCAAGTTGGAGGCCAGCCTCAGCAATTTAGCCAGGCCCTAAACAACAACTCTCTCAAAATAAAAAATTAAAAGAAACTGAGGATGTAGCTCAGTGATAAAGTGCTCCTGAATTCAATCCCCAGTGGTAAAAAAAATGAATAAAAGAAAAACATTTTAAGTTGCTTTCTCTGACATCCCACATACAATAATAACCTATACCTTCAAAATACGTAAGCATCAAAACACTTTTTCCCTTTTAGACACTGGTCTAAGCAAACATCATCTCTCACTGGAATTACTAAAATACTTTCTAATTGGATTCCTCCTTTCCTCCTCTGAGCCTCCGGAGTTTCTCTCCAGAAAGCAGCCAAGTGAACATTCTAAGACAAATTAAATCACATCCGTCACTCCTCCCCCTCAACTTACTGTCCAGCAATTTTTAATGCAATTCAAATTCCACAAGCTCTCTTTCTAGCTTTCCTACTCTCTTAATCACCCTACTGTCATTATACCGGAGTATTTGCTGCCCTCAGCAAGAAGCCAAATTTAAAATATAAGCCTATTTTAAAAAATCACTAATATATATGCATAACAGTGAGAAAGGGTAACTCCAAACGTTAATATGCAATATTGCAAAACTGAAACAATCTGGAAATCTAGTAATAAGGGAAATGGTGAAGATATAAAAAAATGTTTTCTTGAAACCAGAATTACATAAAAGTTGAATACTTTACACGTAAAAGCAGACTGTCACGTTTTACATGAAAGCAAGACAATTTAATATTTCATATGAAAAAAAGCCAAACAAGCGAACATATTAATGTTGGTTCAATGTGAGGAATGGAGGGTGGGTTTTTTCCTTTTGCTTTGTATGATCTTCATAATTGCACCAGACCTGCTTCAAAAACATAAAGCTAAATTACATCCTTATGGACTAAAGAAAAAAATCCGTGTTAATATTTTGTAATAAAGGAGAAACAGTCCAGCATGTCCACGCAAATAGCTCCTAATTTTAGGACTAGGTCTAAACTAGACAGGTTAAGGTATTATCTAAATAGGGATCTACAGTCTTTTAATTGACATCTGGAGACTATAGATGGGCCAATACATTTCTTCAAAGGATTTTATGATATTCGTTATTTTAGTTTGTAGCCTTTGTTACAAACTAAATGAGCCTATCGAGGGCTTATTGAAGTTGATGATGGCAACGTATCTCAGAGGGTGCAAATTTAATCCCTTTCCACGCCAGGAACACAATTAAAAATATTTTCAAATTATTTCTGTTTTGTGCATCGTTTGGAATAATGCTTAAAAGGAAACAAGCAAAGACTGTAGGAAAAAAAAAATCGACATGTTCACAAATGCACGCTTGTCCCCAACACCTTATCTCCAAGCCAGTAAATTTTTTGTATTGTTTGTCGACGACGGGGCGCCAAGTGCTGTGGTTTCCATGGTCTCTGTTAGCAAACAGGGCTGGTCTCGGCTTTATCACAAGGAGGCGGTGGGGTCCAGCCGAGTCTGCCAGACAGAACCCCGGGCCAGGGCTGTTAACACCCACCTACTACTCGGTGCCGACAGGCGACTGCGGAAAAACAGCCTCACCGAGACGGTGGCAAGTGCGCCGCTGCCCTGAGGGGTAGAAGAGTACGGGCCGGGAACTCCGCGCGCGAGAGAAAAGGCATTGGGTAGGCGGCGGGCCGCGCTGGCACCAACGGAAAGAAGCAGGAAGCGCTCCGCGACAGCAGGCGGGCACAGCCGGAACCGTAAGTCGGGCAGCACATCAGATCCGTCCACGCCGGCCCAAGGACGCTAGCACGCATGCGCCTCCCTAGACCTCGGAAGGCTTCCGGGGGTCTATTTCCGCCGCTGAGCTGTCTGTTCCTTCCTCGCCGGCCGGCTTAAACGGCGCCTACGGGGGGTTGCTTTCGGGTACACGTGTTCCTGAGTTCCGAAAGAAATGCAAGAATAGAATGCTGGGCATAAGTCTGTCGCTTGTAAACGTTTGATGAATTAATAAATTAAGTTGATGTTTACTTTTAACTCTGGCTTAAAAAAAAAAAACTTTTCCAAAACAAAAAAGCGTAGTTTTGGGGGAGTCCCTGAAATCTTCGCATTTCACTCGCCCAAGTGATATTACCAAGCAACTATAGTTGGTGAGGAAGTTTTAAAGAAAGTTTTTGCCAGTATGTTCTTACATGTTTTTTCTTCTTTAAAAATTTGGTTTGAGGAAGTCTGGAACTGGCTTCAAAATCACAATCTAGCATCAAATATAAACTTGTGTGCTTGTTCTTCTCCCCCACTTATCCTGTCCTATCAGGATGCTTAGTCTCCAAATTAAACATTTCTAAGACCAAAAGGGGACCTGGGAAATAATTCACATCATGGTTGAGAAAAGTAAAACCGGCCTATGAGCCCTCCACTAATCAAACAGCAACAAGGAAGAGACAAAAATATTATTTATTCACCCAACTTTGGGCCCATAGTGAACCAGCTCTGGGAACCGCGCACACGAAAAGAATAACCCATTCCCTTTGTTTCCCTCGCCAGCAAGTTCCGAGAACTGCTCCGTTACAACATTGACCGCAGATCAAGCCCGGCAAATCACTCGCCTTTAGTTTCAACGGGCACCGCCCCCACGGGCCCGGAAGTTACGTCACGACGCTCCGTACTCCGTCCCCGGATGTAGGGTTTTATATCCGGATTCTTAGCGCGGAGTTAAGAGTACCGCTTTCCCCTTCGCGCGTTGCACATGCGCTACGGCTTTTTTTTACCCCCCCATTTCCACTTCCACTAGCTTCCACCGTCCGGGGAACCGCCGCTAGTGCCGCCGAGGAGTCAGGAAGTTCAAGATGGCTGCCGCGGAGACTCAGTTGCTGCGGGAGCAGCCAGAGTAAGTAGTCTCTGTTAGTGGGCTGGAGGCCGGAACCCGGGAAGCCGCGGAGTGGGAAACCGTGGAGACCTGCACGGACCGGCGGGAAAGTTCAGGCCTAAACGGCGAGAGCCAAACTTTGCGTTTCTGCGAGTGATTCGTTGTGGGGCGGGAGGCGTGGAGAGCAAGGCTGGCGGCCTTCGAGCTTCGCTTTCCCAGAGGCCGCGGCTGTTGGGGCAAAGGCGGCCGCGGCCTGTCGCGCGTCGTTGCCCCGGGAGGCGAAGGCGCGAGCGGCCTCTACAGGTCCTGTGCGTGTGGCGGCTGCCAAGGCTCTGAGGTCGCGCCTTCCGACTCCTCTCCCGGGGACAGAGCCTAGGTCTCCTGTCTGAGCACTCGGCGGCATGGTGTTGGGGACTCGAGGGGCAGTGGAGTCAGGCGGGGCAAACCTTCAGTCTTTTCCGCATATAGTTCCTCGCCTCGTCCTACTTCTGTCAGTTTTAGGACCTAAAAGGATCGAGAAAGGGGTGCTAGGGTCGCACTCTTTGACCGTCCCAGAACTGGCCCTGGCTAGCCTTAAACCTTCTCTCTCTACCCAGAACTTTTATTGCAGCAGCCACCTCGGTTTTGTTTTTTTCTTCCCCTGCCTGTTGGCAACTTGCAAACTTGAGGCAAAGTAAGATCGAGGCCTGCTTTTTGGTTTGGGGGTTTGTTTTCTGTTTTTGTTTTTGCCGGATTTTAGAGCCTCTCTTTAGGAGGATGAATGAAAGAAGAGTGGGATTTGCAGCTAACTGCTTACAAACCGAACTGTACTTCTGTAGTTAAGCTAGTGTAAGAATCCTTGCAACCGTGTGAAAACATACTTAAGCAAACCGTTGCTTAACTAAAAGCAGTATTTTGTTTTTCATGTTTATACTGGGAAAACTTAAAACAAGAACCTAAAAGTGGATTTTAAAACAATATTCCTGTAGCAACCCTCTTTTGCATCTATATTATTTGTTTCCATCCATCTTAGGAAAGAGGTAGGTATACCCTTCCAGCAACTTGCGAAGGGGGAAAGTTTTGCCACCAAACAATCTGACACTTCTTTGCTGTGCAGCCAGTTCTGGGCTCCTTAGTCACTTGGTTTTCTCAGCTAGATGGAGAATTGAACTATTTTATTCCAGGCATTTGAAAATTGCATTTTGCCCCCATAATATGACTTAGCAGAGAAAAAACGGACTCTAATAAAAGTTTTAACTAGACTTACAGCTTCTTGTTGTTTTTCAACGAGTAAACTGTGGCACAATTAGAATACAAATCTTATGCTGTATAGCATTTTGAGGAGTGAGTCAGCTATATTTCATTTACATATTTGAATAATACTTGATTTTAATAATATATACCCTTTGTTTAGTCCCTTGCACTGTAAATAAGCTGAGATAGTTTTGGGTTTCCCCTACCTTCTATACATAATGCTTTGTGTAAATGAAATATTTAGTCTATATGTGTCCTACTTTCACTAATTTGAAAATAGTTAAAATAACATTTTGATGTGAAAGCACCTACTATGCTTGGTGATCATGGTGAGTGTTCAGGTATAGCATCTAAACAGTTTTATAGTTAATGAAATGTATTCAAAATGGAAAATTTAGAATGAATAAATACAAAGAAGGGGTTAACTCCTCAAAGGTTTTTTAAGTAGTGGCTTTTACATTGTTAGACTCTTAAATTCAAGCTTTTTAAACTTATTTGCATAAACCAAAGATAAGATGTTCCTCAAAGCATTGAACAAATTTATTTAATTCATGTAAAACCTAAATGAGAGTAGATACTGTTATTTTCCATGTTTTTACAGATGATGAAACTGGAGCACAGAGTAACTTGCCCTTAAGTCACACCAAGCAACAAACTCATTTAAACCTTGGCAGTCTGGTTCTAAAACACTGTTCCTAGTTATTGTATTGTCTGGCCTTCCATTATACATTGTGGCTCCTTTTAAAATTACCTTTAAGGTTTTCAAATCATTTTTACTTCTTGTCAGTGTCTCAGAAAGGTCCATAGGAAAGGTGGCAGGTGGTGCTGGGCATTAAAAACAGGGTCTTGGTGCCTATTAAACAATATCCTCCTCTACTGACCTGCATCCCAAGCCAAAAATGATTTTTTGCTGTGACATTTCTAACTTAATGAAACAGATTCCGAAACTTGATTTGCAAGAGGTGTTTGTGTTAAGACTGGTCTTTGGGACTACATCAGTATTAATTCTGAATCAGAGGTGTTTCATTTTGTCAGAGAAACAGACTTAATTACTTGTTTTTTCTTTTTTTTTAAACTGTGGCCTTCACTTTGTTTACCATTAAAAACATTTTTAAGAAAAATTTTCAAGCTTAAAAACTGTTCCATTTATGCACAGAATTAATGAGTTCTGTGTGTTTCCAAAGCTGAATTGAATGCTTCCCAGATAATTCATTAACACTAATCTCTAGAAAATACATGTGAAAGGGGAAGTAAAAATAAAAACAATGATTGGTAGTTAGTACTTTATGTTATTTTGAAATTGTTCCATCACTGTTTTTATTGGATAAAGCTTAAATACTGTTAAAATACCCAAATATTGTCTGCACTTCCAATTCATCTTTACTCTCAAATGATGTGATTCAAAGTATGTTACCTAGAACTTAATAAGTTCTCAATAAGTATTTGTTTTATGCCAAACCTGTTGTGGACAGGTTGGTATGCATATCCACCTGCTAAGTGTTTAAAGTTTAATTGGAAAATGTAAATACAAAGCATAAATTTATTTTGTGGAATTTATATAGTGGATATTGTCAGTGTTAATGTCCAAGACCATCAGTTTTCTTAACAAGGGAACTTTTCCCAAGACTTTAGAAGAAAATTGTTGATAATGAGCCTGATTCAGCTGCCTTAGCACAAGCTCATTGTATATAATATGCCATGCCACTGTCATGCTGAATTCAGACTACCTTTTTTGTGGAACTGGAAAAAGGAATGGAAACTAGGGCATTGTGCATTCTAGGCAAGCAAGAACTTAAACACAGAGTGTAATTCTTGTTTTCTATGAAATTTGCTTTAAGAGATCAAATGAGGAGGGCGACAGTTTGCCATATGCATAGGCCAATACAAGAGAATGCTAGGATTGATTATTATGGTTAACAAAGGTAGTCCTTCAACCTCCTGGAACTTGGAAACCTCATCTATCACATGGAGAGACATTTCATTATTTTTTGACATAATAATATTCAATAAATTACAGTAGAAACTGAGGTCACTGATGGAAATTGTTCTTATGGAGAGGGGCATCATGATATAAATCCTGATTCCCAGAAGCACTAGGAGCTAAATTTCTACCTTTCCCTCTATGGGCAAACTTTTTAAGAATTTTGAATTGAAATCAACTAAGACTTTTGTAAATTAACTGTAGAAAGCATTAAAAAAAAGATCAAAAAGCAAACTTTTCTTTGGGGAAGGGGTGACTGTATAAATCAGTTTAGTATTCTACATTAAATAGGTGAACATGTATTATATCTGTGCATTCTGAGGTTGGGGTTGGGCAGACCTGACTGAGAAACTGCTGATATAACTTAACAAGAGCAAAATCTTAGCTTTCAAGGAGTTTGTTAAAGTAAAAAACAGCTTTAGTTTGGTGAATATAGCTTTTGCAGGTTGTTCTAGAGTACCTGCTGTAGGTTAAATCATCTTCTAGGTTCTAGGGATAGAGCAATGAACTAAGTAGATCAAAAATTCTGAAGAAAAGAGTATCCATCAAGAAGTAGATTAGGAATTGTGGTGGTTATTGTAGAGAAAATTTAAGCACAGAAAGGGAGTATGTGTGGGATGGGAACTGCAACCAAAATGGAGTTGGGCAGACTTAACTGAGAAAGTAACATTTCAGCAGATACCTGGCTAGACAAAAGGAACAGGTCATACTTGTATCTGAGGAAAGCATTGCTGGAAGGAGACAACACAAGTACAAGTACCAAGGCCCTGAGGTGAGAAAATACTTATTGTTCAAGTAAAGCAGTTTGACAGGATGAATGCATGAGGGGAGTAGTAGATTCAAGACTTGGGGAGGTGGGGCAGTAGGATAAGGCCTCACAAAGGATTTTAGTTTTACTGTGAATAAGATAAGCATTAAGTTATATGAAGAGTAGCAACATAATCTGACATTTTAAAAGCATTTTCAATCAATTGGTGGAGCTTCTGACTGGCAGAATAAGCCTTCTAACTGGGTTGTTGTATGTGTGACCTTAGACAAGTCCCTTAAACCTTCTCAAAACATCAAAGTCACATCTGTCATGTGAAAAGACATTTCTTGAGTACTTAGTTTGACAACCTTTTATAGTGTGAATGTTTCTTGTTGTTGCAGCAAAATTGATTTATCTGTAGTATTATTTCCCCAGTTTTCACAATTGAGGACAATGAATCATAGAGAAGCAACTTACCTAAGGTTACAACAGTTATGTCATGTTAGAACATTTTTAACCAGGTAGTTTGACTATAGAATCCATGTTCTTTGATAACTTATAACATTCAGAGTAACTGCCTTGTCTGCTCCACATAGTTATGTGAATAAATAAATGTATGTATCCAGTGTCTACTCACTTATATCAGCTTGCTTTTGTAACACTTTGGAGTTCATATTAAGTAGGATTGTAAACCTCACAATACCATTTTAGATAGATACTGTTATTTTCTGCAATTCATAAATGAGATACCTAAGGATTGATCCTTACCAAAGCCTCACAATTAGTAAGTTGTAGAACTAAGATTTTAACCTAGGCATTTTGGCTCTAGAGACTGTTTAATCTTCTCAGCTATCTTTTATCTGGAGGACATTTGGAGAGTATC